CGGACTTTTTCTGACTATTTCTGGGAGATAAGGAACGCGCATAGTATTGCGGGAAAACTATCGATGCCACTATCGATGGTATCGATGGTTATTGACTATCGAAAACATCGATAGTTTTCATTCATACATACGATATTCAGTAAGAGGAAACTTGAAATTAGTCAAGAACGTAAACCTACCGGTACGTAAACCCGAGTCAGCTGACATGTTCTGTCTTACCAAAGCGCCATGTAAATGAAAACACAGCACCGCAGAATTTTTCTGTAGTTGTTGCCCGTACCGCAAAAATCTGCGCAATTTAGATTTTTCCGTGTCAGCTGATTTCTTCCTTCGGGAAAATTTTCCAGTAATGGACCAGGCTTTGAAAATAAATTAGGGGGTTTAAAGCGGCTTTTTGTGATTCTAAATCTGAAAGCCTCCCCCCTCCGGAGGCTTATAGTTTTTAAGTAATACGTTGTTAAAGTTGTAAAAAAAGTGAAATTTAACCTCACATTTTCCAAAAAATGTGTAAAAAAAGTACTGAAAAGGGAATCAATGAAAACGTAAATAATAAAGTGGACATGTACATATATATTATAGATTTTATATTGGATATTTTCACTATATATGGAAGAATTGATAAAAAAAGGGTCGCATGTGAAAATTTTCAAGATATATGGAAGTATTGGATTCTTTAGGAAAAAAGCGCCGCAGGCGAAAATTTGTAATAAAAAAATCGCGCGATTTTTTACTAAAAATTTTCAAGATATATGGAAGTATTGGATTTTTTAGAAAAAAGCACCGCAGGCGAAAATTTGTAATAAAAAATCCCGCGATTTAAATCGCCCGATTAAATATTTCAAAATGCACTATATCCATGGAGGTAACCTGATTTTCAGTTTGTTTACAAATAAAACATAAACAAAGACAGCTGGTGTGTCTTCTTCTTCCGGTTTTTGCAAGTGATGGCTAATTTCCTGTTCGTTTACTTTTCTTCTTTTTCTTCTCTTCGGGAGAGAATTTTCGCTTACTCTCTTGATTTTGATTGTTGGCTGGTGTTGGTTAATTTTAATATCGTACGCAACTAATGTATGATCTGAAAATGAATAGTGGAAGTTAATCAACAATCAGGGCAAGAATCACGTATGACGACAATCGTCTGAACGATATCGTGTAGAGATTGTCTTGCTTCATGAAAACCAAAAATTGTCATTTTTGTTCACATAAAGAAGAGAACGGCGGCCGCTGCGGTGTAATGGTTAGCAGTGCCTGGTTCCACTCTGCAGTGCCTGGGTTCAAGCCCTGGTAATAGCAAGAACGTAATAAAAAATATATATAAAAAAAAGGTTTTTTCTCATGCATAGTAGCGCAGAGTACTAGTAGTTTTGGGACAAAATTCAAATCGCGAATAAACGGAAACGGGATACAGAAATTAGTTGTGTTTTTTTACAAATTATCCAGTAACTTGCCAGCAACTCTCCAGTAACTTTATTTCTAAGAATTTGCTCTCATAGAAAAAATTTGCAAAAAAGTACGCGAACGCTTTTCCAGTTATAATTTGCAAGTTTCATGAACAGCTGATAAATTTGGTTGTTTATTCGCAGCAACTTCCTAATAAAACAATATATTTTGCATTTAAATAGGTTTATTTTGTGAAATTCAACAATAAAAACCCACAAACAGTTTCTTTTTTAGTTTAAGAGCCTTTTTCTGTATCACGAACGATAGGCAAAACGAACGATTCGTCTGCAGACGACAACCTCTCTGATTGCGATTTTAAACTCTATAGGTCTTCTTCGTCTTACTTTTCATACATTACGTTGCAATGGTCTCGGTTGTGTTTAAACCGACTAAAATGATGCCCCCGGACTAATTTTTGAAGCATTCCTCTGCAGACGAATCGTTCGAGTTGCCTTTAGTTCGTGATACAGAATAAGGCTGTAAATTTCATCCAGCAACATGCGATCAGCTGTTTTTCGTACTGGCAAATTTTTACAAGTAAAAATTTATCCAGTAAAATCCAGTAAATTCTTGCAACTTCAACTGTCATTTTTCGCTCTCTCAATTTCCCCTACTTTGCAAGTTTTTGCGTACGCTAACGCCAAAACATGAAAATTCCTAAAAACTTTTACTGGATTTTACTGGAAATGAGTAAAAAAACGCAATTATAGGTGCTCTCATAAACGATAGTATTCTTGGTTCATGTGTTGCTCTGGTGTATGATGGCCCAATTTGAAACAAAACATCGACGTGAAAAACGTACTCGATCTTCGCAGATATCGATTTATCCTTTCCATTCCTAAGACCGCAAGCGGACTGGCAAATATTCCAATTTTTTATCCATGCTTTCAGTATTTTTAACAGCAAGTGCCGCTCTATAATATTTTCTGAATTCATGGCTTTACAAGATGGAATTCCAGATTTCCTGAGAGACCAGTTTGTGTTTTCTGACACGATGCTGGTCGGTCACAAGCGGCATTGTTTTATTTTGGCGCGCAATTTGAAATTTTATGAATTTTGCCAGAAACAACTTGTGAATAGTACTGAATTGAGGGAAACTTGTTTGAAGAAAGTAGCGAATGATGTGCGAGACTACAAAGGGCCAAGAGGAAAGTGTTTTAAAAGTCGTGGAACCCGTAACAGACATACCATGGGTTGTACAGAAAAGCCTGCGGGTCTTATGGAAACTTCTGATTTGCAGACCTCTGTAGTATTCGAGGAAGAGCCTGTTACTAATGTAAATATTATCTTTGGAAAGTATGTTTATAGAAATTTTGATATAAACAAAGTATATTTCTTGATACGTTGCTGGGATAAGTTGGTAGTAATTGCTTTACCTAATCATGCCTTTGTGGCGGAGTTTGAAAGGGTTACAAATTTTCGTATTGTACATGGGAAGGCACTGTTTGAAGCTGTAATAGAAATACTTTTCGAAAATGGTACAACACAGTGTTCAAATTTCCAAAAAAGTGCAGAACTACTTGAGGGACCAGCTGCTAGAAATATTGTTAGTGACAGGAATAGCTTAAAACAGCTGCTGGAACGTGTGCGGTTCTCTAAGTCAGAGCTCCAGCTACATAGGTCAACAACGCAGAAAGAGTTCGACGCCTTGCGGGATCAGGAAATGTTTGGCTTTAACTATATTCGCAGTGATCAGTTAGAGGAAAAACCAATGCTTTCTCGCTGTGGTGACATTTGGATCAGATTCGTGGGAAATAATATGGTTTTTGGTGTACCCTTGGTTAATAACTGCTCCAAACATAACTTGATTATACTCAAAAATTTGAAGCCAATTTTAAAAATAAATGATTTCGCTGTAGATAATATTATTTACAAATATCGTTTATATCAACTACGGCTAAATTTTGAGAATTTAGAAACAATGGAATCTTTTTTCCAGACTGAAGATGAAGACTTACGACTGCATACACAAGTTTGGAATAATTCCGAATTGCCGCAATTACTGCCAGCGTCCTTTGCAGTAGTATTAATTGTGATAAAAACTACACAACTACTTTTACTTGAAAATTGTCCCTTATTTCTGTACTTTGAAATCGAAAAAGAACTACCGAACAGTCAAGGACGTCCCGTAAGAACTGGAGTTTATGAGCAACATCTTTTCTTGAAGAACTTAAATATTTCACATATACTTATAAATCGTCAGAAATACCAACTGTCATTTAGTTCACCGTGTATCCATCAGGACTTTCTGGCTAATGCATTGATAAGCAAAGAAGCAACAATACATATTAAATTTCTCTCTGTGCATAATGCGCTTATATTTGAGCAGTTAATCCAGGAAAAATTAAATTTCAATACTGTCAAAAGAGATTTAACTTCATCTGAATATGAAATGAACCATACAAAAGATGTCGATGATAAGCTAACTCAAAACCAATATGTTTCCAGCATATATTTTAACAAAGACCAAATGTCGCTGTGGTTTGGTTCAATGATTATAAAAATAAATTCAGATGCTGAAGGTGAGGATGAGCAAACCTGGAAATTTTATTTACAAAACAAAGAAAAGGCATTCATTTGCTTAAAGATGCTGTTTAGCGAGATCACGATGGTCAACTGCAAAATCAAAAATATGGAATATCTCGGCAATAACCAAGAAAACACCGAAGGATCATTTTTCAATATTAAAAAAGCACTCTTCGATGAACTCGAAGGATTAAAGCATTTGAATGAATCTATTGATAATACCAGGAGAAGGGAAATTTTGGAAGAGTTGATGAAAAATCAAATAAGTTCAGATATATTTTTACGGACGGGGCGATAATGAAGACATTTTTAGGCTTATTTCGTTTGGACATATTACAAGAAAGTATGTAGTTTGTATTATGTGTGAATGTACATGTACAATGTTCAGATGCAAAGACTTTACTGGTGTTCATGAAATTCTTTTGAAATTCTTACTGTGTGTGTATATTTATCGATAAAACTCAAACCCGACTTTGCTAGTTTTCAGAAAAGATTTATTAATTTATTCAATTCAATTGAAACAGAGATTAAAATAAGTTTCAGCCATATGTATATTCATATTCATCATTTTTCTTGCTATCTGTACCATTACTTCAAATAAATTATTCTTATAATTATGATTGTATTCCTAAACATTTTAATACAAAGAATCCAAAATCTTTATTTTTAAACCACAGTCGATTAGCATTTGCTATATTCGCAACGCGTCATTATACATATTTAAAATCAATCAGACAAATAAAAGATATGTATGCTTTGTATTAATAAGTTTCGAAATTCAATCTATTTACATATATAATTTTGCAGCATTCAACGTAAAATTCTTATTAAAATTAATTATACGAGCTCTCGAATGCCGTTTAGCCGCCCAAGTTACACAGTTAGAAACATAAATTAATAACAAAAAAAAAAAAACAAAAGACTGCGTCTATTAAATGTAAATACTTATTTAATGAAATAATATGTATATGCATACATATTTAAATAACAATAACTATGAAATCTCAGTATTAAAAAAAACGTATTACAATAAAATGTTTAGTAATGCATAAAATTCAAGAGCATTTAATGGCCAGTACTTGTTCCGTTTAGTCTTTAAATGATTTTATGTTGCGATGCTTTCATAAATTATGGATCTACATATGCTATAACAACTAAAGATTAAATCTTTTAAGTACGCATCCGAAATTCGGAAAAAATTCGCTCATCTCATAATGAACTACGTTAATATAGAAGCGCCCTATCTAACATTTTGGTTTATTTCCGGAGTAGTTATAAAAGCAAAGTTCTTCACTTGCATTTTTTTAATAAACACAGAAACTAATTTTTTGATGTAGTAGTTGATCTAAAATTCGATGAAGTCTTTAGGGAGTAATCTACCAACTTTTCTTACAGAGTTGATTTTCGAAAGAAAATTATTTAGGCTCTTCTATATTAAGGTAACGATATGCACCCACCGCACGTTTAATAATATACATAATTATTTAAAAATTTAAATTTTGTTGAAAACAATCAAAGTTTGATCTATTCATACAGTTGGTATACAAAAAGACAGACAAGTCTTAGTCATTTTTGGGAAGTTTAGTTATCTGTAAGGCTAAACATAGGCTCACTTCCAAAACGTATCAAACTGTTTGTATATGCAGAGTTGCGACACATTGCAACCATACACATTGCATATTTTAAATAATGAATATAGCAATGTATATTTTTTCTGAATTTTCCATTCTTAAAAACACCAATGGTAACCAATAGCAAACGAAGCATCAACTTTGTTTCTGATGCGCTGATTGCGCTAGCGATGCGTTTCGATAAATTTTCGGATGCGTTTTGGAAAAGTATACATTGTCAATATTTTGTAGTTCGGCGTTATGGAACATTATACTTTGTACGTATACAAAGCAATTGACGTTTTGGAAGTCAGCCATAATAGTTTAGGGCCGCTTGCTCAAAGCCTGGTTGACACTAATCCCCGGTTAAACATCGTTACGGAAGTTACAGACACCGTGTTATATGCATGAAGTCGAAAACGTCGATAACAATGTTAACCGATGATTTGAGCAACCGGCGCTTACTTTTGTAAAGTTTCAAATTTGCCAAATATGGTATTTTGCATTGATGATGACGATATGCGTCAAAGATTAAAACGTTGGATTTAATTATTTAAATTATCACAGAAATTTACAAAAAATTTCCAAAAAATTATCGTCAGCGTGATGAGTACATTTGATTTGCATACAAACTTATTTTTAAAAATGTAAAAATATTAGCTTACATATTTATATAAATGTAAATCTTTGTACATAGGAACAAAAGGACTAAATTGTATGGCGTAAAAATTTGGCTTACAAAAGTAAAAATTAAGTAAATTTCAAATAATCTGGTACTTCTTCAAATGTGTATTCCTTTTTTTTGGAATTTACTAATTCTAAAGCTGTATATTAATTTAGTAGTGAAGTAACATAATAAAAATTAAATAGGTAACTGGGTCACTTATCTTCATGAGATCCGTGCTTTTTTGGCATGTTATATGTATGTATGTTTTTGCGATCTATCAATTTCTCGCTT